TGTGAATTTCTGGAGGACCTGCTTTGTTTTGTTGGTTGTTTGGGCCTTGGGCCCATATGGCCAAGATGGTGTTTGAAGGCTGTGGGAAAAGCAGTTTGCATCTATAGAAAACCCTCACCACATCACACCTAAGTGTTGTTCGTGGCAAGGACCCCTGGGCACATCTTCTAGGGCACAAGTCAGGACATGCTCCACTCTGTAGGGACACAGCTCAGGTGGCTAAATCCAAGGCTCTGCAATTGGGCAGGTGCATCAGAGATGAAGATGTTACTCCAGGTCTTTGCACAAAGAACATGTCCTATGGAATGGCCCCATTTTGTCTTTGCAGTGAGAGAAGGACCTGAATACACATGTATGCAAGTGTCCCCTATTTGCGCTTCTCACACTTGTCTTTTGTAAACTGAAGACATGCACTATCACTCACAGTTCTGCAGGGGAAGGAATCTAGCATTGACCTCTACTACACCCAGGTCAGGAGAAAGCTCTCCCACATATAAGGAGGAAACCCTCTGCATTCGGAAAATGGAAACTCCAGCTGCATATCACTTCATGGGTGTTGTTTTACTCAGTTAGCACACATATCTCACAGAGGGACCATCTTAGAAACAGAACAGAGAGCAAATCAGGCAGGAGTGCCCTGCTCGCAGGACACTCACAGCCAGTGGTATAGAGCTGATGATTTGAAAACCACAGGGCTGGGTGCAGTGGCTCACTTTTGGAATCTCAGCACTTTGGAAGGCTGAGGTGAGAGGATTGCTTGACATCAGAAGTTTAAGACCAGTCAGGGCAACATAAGGAGACTCCCATTTCGACAAAAAATTTAGAAATTTTCTGAGCAGGGTGGTGCGCACTTGTGGTCCCAGCTACACAGGTGGCTGAGGGGGGAGGATTAGTTGAGTCCAGAAGGTGGAACTACAGTGAACCTTGATTGCACCATGCACCCCAGCCTGGACCACCCTATCTCAACAACAGAAAAAAAGTGCCACCAGATAAGTAAGCACATAGAGCATCAGGGGGCGATAAGAACTGTGGAGTGAAAGCAAGCAGGGAAGGAGGGCAGCATGGGGTGCTTTGCAGAAAAGTTCTCAATGAGCGGAAGACACGTGGTGGGAGACCTGCAAGGGAGGGTATAGACAAGTGGGGAAGATGCTCTATGCAGAAGGAGCAGGAAAGGTGCTAAGGTCAGATGCATCTAGCTCTCTCCAGGAAAAAAATAATAATAAAAGGGCCTTGACAAATGAAACACCTGGAGTCAGGTGAGGGCTGGCAGCTGTGGGAGACAAAGTGGGGGATCCTAGGAGGACATTGGCCCATGCTGGGAGTGTGCTGGGAGCCAGTGGCATATCCTGAGCACAAGACTGACACCATCTGACTTAAATTCCAGGCTATGGCTTCACCCTCAGTCTGCTGGGTGAAGCCGGGGGGAGGCTGTAGTGACCCCAGCTGCAGTCCTCAGCAACACATGCATTGTGTCAAAGAAGTGCCATGGGCATGGGAAGGGATCACCTGGTGGGGTCAGGTGGAGGGACCTTCATGGCAGAAGTGGACTTGCACTGAGCCCTAAAGGACAGCAACATTAATAAGATGAGAGGAGAGGATATGACTTTTGTATGGCAGGCAGGTGAAAAATAGTGCTTGGTTGTTTTCTGTTTGAGGTATCAGGGAGTCACTCAATTGTATATGTTCTGTGGGAAATTTGCAGTTCAAGGCTGGGGCTGGGAGGGATGTCTGGAATCCCATGAAGACTTATGGCATTCCCTGTAGAGATGCCCAGAGAGGTCTCTGACTCCTGTACCTCAGTCTCATGATCATCACTGAGGTCACCCCAGGAATTCAGCGGGTCCAGAAATCCAATGGTAAATTTCCTCTAGGGTTGGGGAATTGTACTTGCACTAACTAACTTATAAGTCAGAAACTTAATTACCACAGGAGAGCGTACATCCACTTGTAATGAGAGCTGCATCTCACAGGACACCAATGCTGCTCTTCAGCAAAAGCATCTCCCATTGTTCAGAGTTCAGACAAGAAGGCTGCTGGGTGAGCCGAGTCAGAGAAAAAGGAACTAGAAGTTCCTAACCAAAAGATTTTACAAGATAAGGCAACTTACCCTTCTCAAAGTATTTTCCCCAGGAATAGGCTGATCTAAAGTTAAGTTTCCGGAACTGACATTCAAAGGCTCCTTCTCAAGTCTTGGTTCTACATTTACCAAACATGGGCTATGCAGCCAACTTCTCAGAGCCTCTGTTTCTCCTTCATAAGAAGATCCATTTTAACAAATCACTCTACCTTTATTGCAGGATCACGATGGGCCAAAATAAAAATGGATGTGAGTACTGTGGCTGCAGATACTGAATGTGATTTTCTGAGTGAGTGCTGCCTGTCATTAGAGACCTGCCTCTTCTCAGCAGATTGGAGATAGACTGACAAACCCAAAGACTTTGCTTGTTTGTTTGTTTGAGATAGGGTCTCACTCTGTCTCCCAGGATGGAGTGCAGTGGCATGTTCAGCTCACTTCAGTCTTGGGCTTCTGGGCTCAAGGGATTCTCCTCACTCAGCCTCCTGAGTGGCTGGTACTACAGACACATGCCACCACACCTAGTTAATTTTTTATTTTTCATGGAGGCAAGGTTTTGAACTCCTTGCATCAAGTGACCTTCCTGTATCAGCCTCCCAAAGTGCTAGGATTACAGGTTTGAGCTGCTTCACCCAGCCCAAAACCTTTGATTCTTAGTTTTCTAGGCTCCATGCAATTCACCATCTTTCCTGTATGCCATGATTGCACATTAAATTAATCAAGGCTCAATTTATTTTTATCAGCAATCAAGACTTGAGACAGAAACAGGGAAGGTGGTTGGCAGCCTCTGCGATGGTCCTCATCTGTGCCCGTTTCCTGGCATTCACAATCTTGAGTACTCTCCTTCCCTTGAGTGTGGCTGCATTTAGTCACTCACGTCTAAAAATGGAATACACAGAGCTGAAGGGATGTGACTTCTAATGTGAGATTACAAAGTACCCTGCTCCTTTTAGGGTGATTTTGTCCAACTCTCTGGAGGATCACTTGCCCTGGCAGAAGTCAACGGTCATGTAGTGAGGTACCTTCGAGGAGGGAACGAGGTGCCAAAAGCCCCAGGAATGACCATGGAGTGGCATCTCCCCCTCCAAGCCCTGAGAGGGCTGCACCTGCTGAACAGCTGAGCGAGAACCTCAGGAGAGGCCTCAGGCTGGAGGCACATGGCTGAGCTGCATCAGATCCCTGGCCCACAGGAAACATAAGAAAACAAATGTGTGTTACTCTATTTTAAGCTCCTCAGTTCTGGAGCTATTTGTTACAAAGCAATAAGAAAGTCATACGAAATTAAGGGAAAACATATTGCAGTGCTGTGCTACTTGCAGAACAGCAATATTACCTGACAGAGTAGGCCCGGATGGATAAACGGACAACCAAATCGAAAAGAGGCAAATGAGAAATAGAACACAAAGAGGCCCAAGGAGAACTGGGAACTCCCTGGAGAGCGAAGACAAGGCTCAGCCGGGTGAGAGTGCGACGCCAATGATAACAGACTCAGAGTCAGAATATGGCGATGTTTTCCACTTGTTGTTTGTAATTATCTGTTCTGTTATTTGCCCTGGATTCAGATATTCTACTGTCAAGGAACATTTGTCTTATTTAATATGCATGATGTTATTTCCTGACTTGGCTTTGTCCATGTAAAATCAGATCATGTCTCTGATGTCTCTCTATACTAAGGTGTTTAGGACAAATTGTTTGGCAGGAGGTGGTTCACACCTGCAATCCCAACAGTTTGGGAGGCCAAGGTAGGCAGATCACCTCAGTTCAAGTGTTGGAGACCAGCTTGGGCAATATGGCAACACCCCATATCTAACAAAAATAGATTAAAAAGTACCTGGGCATGGTGGCAGGCACCTGTGGGAGGCTCAGGTGGGTGGGGGTGGGTGGCATGAGTCCAGGAGGCAGAGGTTGCAGTGAGCCAAGATCATTCCACTGCACTCCAGCCTGGTGACAGTGTGAAACCCTGTCTCAAAAAAACAAAAACAAAAAATAATTCTTGGCTAAATATCAAGGTAAATCCCTTTTTATCAGCAGGCTCCAAATAAATTCATTGGAAATTTTTTGATAAAACAGTGAATAAATGACTCAGAAATCCAAGTGAAATATATCAGTTAAAAGGATCTCATAAAGAAGGCACTTCGATTTCTACTAAAGGTAACTTAGGAAGCACATATTACCTATACTGCTTTTTTAGCCACTTCTACTGCAGCTCTGACTGTGGGATTATTTTATAAGTCCCAGCATAACTAAAACCTCACTGTTCTCATGAGTCTTGGGTACCAAGTTATTGCTTCTCCTCACTGGCCCTGTGACTTCCTGTCACTCTCAATATGACTGACAATGACAGCATCCATCACAACTCTTCCTTTCTCATGTGGGGCACAACAGGAGAACATTCTTTTCCTATATTATGAACATAACAGAGTAGTTAGCCTAAGAAAACTCTCAGAGCATACAGACTACAGACTGAAGAGAAACACCTGCTTTCTTCCCTTCCTTTCTATAGAACACATGAATATCTCCTGGGAATGAAATGCTTTCAGCTTCGTTAAACATAGTTTCCCAAGTCCATGTGATCTCAGATAAAAAATTTGGTTTCATACAGCACAGCCAAGACTTTGCCTGATGAAGAGGGTTGTCCAAAGGTCTATGACAAATGAAACAGCTCAGTTCTACCCTTCTTGATGAACATACATACAACACATGTATGCAGTCCAATTCTAGGAGCCAGGAGGGCTCCGATTGCTGTGTTAGGGAAACATGAAGGAGTGTCTCCTATTATAACCCAAAGCTTCAGTTGTTGAGATCTAATAAGTTACACACAAAATAGCTGACCAAAGACATAGCATGCAGAGGTCTATAAAGAAATGTCAGGCAATCTAATACATTTTGTCCATATTCTCAGGTGACCAGGAATAACAACTGAGCCATGGAGACATGGGCGAAACAGTCATCCACAAATGACTTCATCCTCTTGGGCATCTTCTCCCACAGTACTGCTGACCTTGTCCTCTTCTCTGTGGTTATGGTGGTCTTCACAGTGGCCCTCTGTGGGAATATCCTCCTCATCTTCCTCATCTACATGGATCCTCAACTTCACACCCCCATGTACTTCTTCCTCAGCCAGATCTCCCTCATGGACCTCATGTTGGTCTGTACCAATGTGCCAAAGATGGCGGCCAACTTCCTGTCTGGTAGGAAGTCCATCTCCCTTGTGCGCTGTGGCATACAAATTGGCCTCTTTGTCTGTCTTGTAAGATCCAAGGGGCTCTTGCTAGGACTCATGGCTTATGACCACTATGTGGCCATTAGCCACCCACTTCACTATCCCATCCTTATGAATCAGAGGGTCTGTCTCCAAATTACTGGGAGCTCCTGGGCCTTTGGGATAACAGATCGCTTGATCCAGATGGTGGTAGTAATGAACTTCCCCTACTGTGGCTTGAGGGAAGTGAATCATTTCTTCTGTGAAATGCTATCCCTGTTGAAGCTGGTCTGTGTAGACACATCCCTGTTTGAGAAGGTGATATTTGCTTGCTGTGTCTTCATGCTTCTCTCCCCATTCTCCGTCATCAATCGCGGCCTCCTATGCTTACATTCTAGGGACTGTGCTGCAAATGCACTCTTCTCAGGCCTGGAAAAAGGCTCTGGCCCCCTGCTCCTCCCATCTGACAGCTGTCATCCTCTTCTATGGAGCAGTCATGTTCATCTACCTGAGGCCTAGGCACTATCGGGCTCCCAGCCATGA